CGGCACATGCCTCAAACTTCTGGGTCGTGCTTTACAACGTCAACATGCATGGCAATGGTCTGAGCTGTCCCATGTCAAGGTATAAGGAACATATACATGTGGGAAGAATACACAAGGGGAGCTTTGCCAACGTACATAGACTGACTCGGAACTTGGTTTCTGGTTTATGACCTGTGTAAAGAAAACTTCCGGAGTGACGGATAGTGATACTCAAGTTCGCTTGCATAAGCCTATGCAACAACTTTACTCGACAATTTTTAATGTCAGAAACACCTATCGAGAACGACGTATCCCCATACCATCCTTGAAATACTTAGCCATACAGCTTCCACGTCTATATGGGCTCGAGTCCAAGGAACTAAACTTAGGTAAGTGTGACACCCGCTTGTAAGAAAGATCCTGTTGCTGAAATCAAAAACAGCATCATAAGTCTTAGCATGGTGGCCGAAGTCTGACTTTCGGTGCATGTCCGAGGCTGCGCACACGGTGATTTCTTTTTTCAGTCCGAAGCCTGCAAGTGAACATCGGCAGGGCCCAGAAGCATAATGCACAAGCGGGCGCGAAGAATGCATAGATGCCTGGATGTGTGTACAGCATGGCAATATATACGTATGCTTGCGCAGAGGTTGCATGATATGTGTCTCATTGTGTTTCTGCCTCTACACAGTGCTATATAGCAGCTGCTTGGACTACGTGCGCAAGTCTCCTGGCAAGTCGACATAGGTGCATATATATGTATATATAACATGTAGCACAAAGTGGCAGTCCATGCATCCTCTGCAGCCACAAAAGTCACGCCATCGAAGACATCAGGCAGGGACATGAGATGACGACAGATAGCCGTGTTGCAGGACAGACAGCCATGTCATGTAGATGTGCTATATGACATGTCCATGTACATAAAATTATATTATGTGGAGATATGAAGACTGCAGGCCTGCACATGTGCGGTGAACAGAGCCACGCGAAGACCCTTTGTGCTGCCATTGGCCTCTCTTTTCTCAGCTGAAACCATAAACCCTGCATGAAGCCTAAATCCCTATAGATATATAAACCCCATGCAAGCCCTCGACACCAAACCCTCAACCCTTTAATTCATATATAGTATAATTCCTAGAACCGACACCCCCCACAAACCCTATAACCGGGCACCGAAGGACCGCTTACAAACCCCAGAGGCCGGCATGCACAGCGACTATAGCAGTGCACAGCTGCAGATTGTCAGGAGGAGCCGACGGTTTAATATTCGGGCTTGTGACAGCTTGTGTATAGGTTTACGGCAGATGCTTCAGCGCGGCCCTCCTGACCGCCACAGAGCTTGAGCAAGGAGGCCGACAGTATGCATCGCCTGGTTCATCTGAACCCGATGCTCTGCCTCGAGCCTCTTTCTCTTACCCTGCTCCTTCTTCCCGGCACGATGCCTCACTCGCTGGCGACCACCGCCGGGCCTGTATGCATATAAGATGTGCGTAGATTTCGACGCGACACGCACTGCAATTACATCCGAGTCGCTCCAGGAACTCTCCAGCGGCCGTCCGATCCTGGCTGCAAAGCGCTGCGGCAAATGATGCACGCGACTCGGACTATGCGTCCTCTGATGCCACTGCATGACCATCACCACGTCGCTGTCGTTTCCGCTCCTAACGTGGAAAACAACCAGGCACTACGGCAACAGAAACCACAACACAACAACTCTCCTCGTTCCACTCCGAAGCGTTCCAGGTCGCAGAGGATGACGATGGCTCCTGACGTCGACCACTGAAACGAAACAACAGCCAACTCTCCTTCTTCCAAAAGCAGTCCTCCCAGGCCTCGCCCGTGGATGCTGATTCTGCAGGTGCTGATGGCTCCTGCATGCAGAACAATACAGCTTCCATATCACCGAAGTGGCACCTCCGAAACTCCTCCTTGGACCAATCAAGCCAATCGCCAGCTCCCTGCTCCTGTCAAGGCCGATAATTATAAGCCCATGAAGCCAGTACAACGGCACACGATTCGGAAGACATGCACGTCCTCCTTTGTCCATGACCACGTGGCTCCCTGCTCATCCTGCGAGTTTGTATATTCGACAATCAGAACTCCCACATGAGATAGAGGCTTATTCTTCGGTTAGGATCCTTGCACCATGACCATTGCCAATCGGAGCTCTCATCCTGCCAGTTTGCAAGACAAGCGCAGAACTCGCGCATGAGAGTTGTTCTATGGGCTACGGTCACAGTCCTTGCTCCATTGCCAATCGGAGCCCTCATCCTGCCAGTTGTATTGGACAAACTCAGAACTTGCACACAAGAGTTAGTCTGCGGCTGCGGTCACGGTCCTCGCACTTCGAAGCCTGCCACCCACTCGACGCCTCCCTGCATGAAGCTTTTCCGCCGTCCTGCATGGTGGGCAGCGCTATACTACTTCCAGAAAGAGAAAGGCAGTCCTCCGTCTCGGCTTGGTCGTCTGCCACGTCCAACCACCTGCGCGCGGATTGGGGGGTTTCTGGGTCCTGAAACTTCGATGCACGCGAACCTGCAGTCCACCACACCCGCGCTCTCCTCGGACTGCTCGATCTTCAAGTCGGCCATGGCAATGGCGAAGGAGGAAACACCCGTTGAAAGTGTTCTGTCTCTATCTCTGTCTCTCTCTCTCTCTCTCTCTGCCGTGCCAGCATGACGCAGGAGTCTCCAAGTTCAAAGGTGGAAAGTGTTGAACCCAGAATTGTTTTTGCATCTCTAGACTGCTTTGCCGGACGACCCCTTACATTCACGTCATGGACATGCACTCTGACACTCCGTAGCCTATGGCCGCGTCATGTCCCAACTTGTGCCTCTGCAAAGACGCTAGAACTTGCGAGGTATATAGACTGTCAAAGAAAACCATGCTCTGGCACCGCGCATGAACAAACATAGGAAGCAGCTAACTTCTGCATGAACCCAACCTCGTCATCAGAACGAGGAGGTTGTTGGTCACCATAGCCGAGGGCTGCAACTGGACCTGGACGGTCACCATCGCCGAGGGCTGCAACTGGATCACGTGGCACCTTGCGAGGTCGTCCAACTTTTCTGCCAGACATGCGCCGCTCAGCTGCAGCTTCACCCCTCACTATCGTCGGTGAAGCCCGTATGGCTGCACGGACGTACTTGAGGTTGGCGACAGTCAGTTGCATAAACAAGGCTGAAGTGATGCCCCACAGGAATGTCATCACCAATGGCCCCTCGCCGATGTCCGGCATGGTCACCGCGACGGTGCGGCTCACGATCCAGGAGTCCTCCTCCCTGGCGTTGCGGACCTTCTCCGGTCTGTCCGCATGGGCCTCATCTGCGGCCCGATAGAGAAAGGCCTTCAGGGCTTCGTTGCAGGCTTCTTTTCGCCGGGCTTTCGTTTCGGGGAAGAAGCGGACGTGGATGTTGTGCTTCGGCTGCTGCCGCTTCTTCTTCATCTGCATGTAGATCCCCGTGGTGAAGCGACACAGATCTTTGTCCCAGGGCGATAGATTCAGGTACTCGATGCCATCTACCAACTTCACGTTGGGATACCACGCAGAGAACTTCGCGCTCCGCACACAGGTCACCTTGCAGATCTCCAGGGTCTCTTCCTCGTCGACTTCGTTGTCCGACATGCTGGAAAAGCGAGCTCTTGCCCCTGCTGACCCCGACCGCGAGCTGTGAGCCCTGCAGCCAAAACCCAGTCAAAGGGACCGCTAACCCCGACCGCGAGCTGTGAGCCCTGCAGCCAATTCAAGTTTGTACTGGCGCATGATAAGCGCAGCCCAAGATTGACGCTTCTGCAAACAGCACATGTACACAGTATTTTTAACGCCTGGCCTCATCATACTCTGCGGCTTCTGCATACAGAAGCAGCAACTATAAATGTGGTCATTAGTCGAGCTCCGACAAACCGTCCGAGGCTATGCCTCGGGCATGAAACGATGCTTTGCCCAATCCGGGGCCTCTGCCCTTGGCAAGACCTTGGCCCTTCTCAGATCCCCCGCCCTTGGCACCATATACTTTCCACTGCTGGTGGCATTCATGACAAGAATGCCGACCGGGATGCTGGCTGCAGGGCCGCTTGCGACCACACAGACCGATTCCGCAATAAGAACAGATAGCTTTGGGAACATCCTGCACAGCAGCTGGCCGAAGTAACTGCTGGAAGAGCTACAATTATATAGTACCTGTATACAGGCTACAACGACGACGATGATTATGAAAGTGCAGAGGGTCTACCTTCGGTGACGGTTAACGCCCCCTCCCCTTCCCAGTTTTGAAAACCGACATTATATAGTGAATCCCTATATATATATATATATATATATATATATAGGTTGATGAGTGTCATTGCATGGTGTTGCTGTTGCACACGCGAAATGATGATCATCATATGCTGGGAAGCGAGCCGTTCGCCCTGCTATCCCCGACCGCGAGCTGTCAGCCCTGCAGCCAATTCAACATGAAACAAAGAGCCTGACGTTAAGTGCCCATGAACATGCACAGAAAAAGCCGCTGAACCGCGGCCTGCGGACGAAAGAGGCCGGGGCAATCACGGCGAAGAATGTGGTAGAGCCGCTGCTTCTGCTGCACAGGCTGACTCTGCAGCCAATTGGCAACCTGGTCGTCCGTCATTCCACCCAGGTCCGCCATCAGTCAGAGCGCGAAGCAGTCGGGAAGAGCTGGGGGAGCTGTCCGACCGGATTGGGCAGTTATGCAATGTCGCGTCTTCTTGTTTGTGGTATCATCAACATGCAGAGCACGACGTGTATACTGGGTCAAGTTCTCCGGCCAGCATGCAGCTGAACAAAACACAGGCAGATCCTAAACAACTTTTGTTTCTCACACGACGCAGGCTTCGGGGTGTTTTCAAAACTCATGACAAGAAGGCTCGGCAAAACGGAGTCGACACGAAGGCCACAGCATGAGTACAGATGTACGTGTGCATGGTGCCTGCATGTGGCTGAGTCAACATGGTTCCTACCAAAATCGGCCTCTCTGCTTGGCGACATAGCGTGATTCGCACGTCTAGGCAACCTTAGCCTTCTTGGACAGAGGCTGCAACACCTCCACTGGTGCTGGCGACTTGTTCCCGGGACGATAGAGCACGAGGGACTCGTTCTGAGAGATCTTCTTGAAATTCTTGATGACGGGCAGCTCGAATGGATCTGCTGGCTTTGCCGGAATCCCAACCAACTCACAGTTGGCTTCCTTGCGAACGGCGGAAGGTCGCATTAACCATGATGGGTTCAAGAAGCCCTCGCATGTAGCCGTGGGCCATGTGGTCACCGGGGAAAGGATGACCCAGACGTCCTTGCCTGCTAAGGTTGTTCGTCCCACCACAATGGAGTTGCTCGGGTCCTCGGCGGCGGAACGGATCTCAATCCTTGTCGTCGTCACCGGAAGCTGAAGCTGCCTAACGGCCAAGTCTTCATGGGCACGAACATCCCTCGGCTTCTGGTAGACAGTCAACCCGAGAGCCACCGATTTTGCACCCATGAGTTTCTCGAATTGCTCCTCCATGGCATGCACGATGCGAGCTCGGAGAAGAAGTGCCTGCATCTCGAAAGACTTGAAACCAACGACTGACGGCCAGGAATCGAATCGCACTGGATCACTTCGTGGAGCACTCTGTTTCCAGTGCCCGTCCAAGAAGGACTGTGCGGAGCCCTCAACCTGTGACCCGTCTTGGAGCTCCAAGACCACTTTCTCGGCACCCACTACTTTCACTGTGGCTTGCAGACCGTCTGCCTTGCGCTCCACGAAGTCCCCCACCCGAAAGCCTTTGGAAACCACGCGAGCAGCGTTGACAACTGCTCCACTGGCATCTAGCTCGTGAATTGGCCTAAATGAGACGAGCGAGCTGTTGGTTATACTGGGAGACTGTGCAGTCTATAGGGCTACCGAACATGCACTTGCAACCAACCAACTCAGGCTGGTGCTGCAGAACTTCCACTGCAGGGGTGGGTTTCTTGGGCGACACGGTCGAGGTTTTCGGTTTCGGCGTCCAGGAATGGGGTATGACACGACCGATCTTCTCGCTGAGTGCTTCCATTGCCGCATGGCAAGCCGAATCCACGTCCTAGTGACATCGCATAAATCTGGTTCATATAGCTTCGGTTATTGGTTTTCTATAGGCCTTCTACAATATGAGGGCTATGGGAAATATCTGAGGCCATATATGTCAGACAACCTGAAACGTTTCTCGGCATCGGTATACCTATATACTTCTTGAGAGCACTATAGTCCTCATATTTGCGGAATTTCTTCACAAGCACCAACGCAGCCACTTCCTGTTCCAGAAATGCCATGGCTTCTTGCGCTTGGATAGAATCGATGCCTTCCTTCGCCAAGATCTGCCTGAACTGGATGAAGGCATCCTCTGCTGCATCCAACTTCACAACCGCATCTCTGGAGCTCAGGATCTTACGGACATCGCTGGCCGTGACTGCCTTGATGTTCGCTTCACAATACGCAAGCTTCAGCATCGCATGTTTGAAAAGAACTCGGGGCTTCTGACCTTTCGCGTCGGCGGAGATAGCATCCCACCATTCCATACCCAGAGCACGGTCACGCCTGCCGTGTGTTCTGATGTGCGCCTCGGACTCCAGAAGGAACGAAGTCGAGGAAGATGCCGGAGACAAGCCACCCGCTGCCTGCAGGACGAAACGGAAGATGAAGCAAACCCAAGGAGCACAAGGCGGTTTGCTGCGAAGTATTTCCTTGGATACGTCCTCATACTTCACCTGGTTGGTCCCGTTGAGCTGCATGAAGCCCTGGACGGACAAGAGGATCTTCTTCGCAACCTGCATTTCATCTTCGGGTTTCGAGATCTGTCCGCAAGCGTTGCCTGCGGCCTGGAACAAAGTCGCGAACTTAACGAACTCATCCTGGATCTCATGACCGACGATAACCCATTCGATTCCTTCGGTGATCCTGCAGAGAACGACTTTGTCACACACCGCCAAGGTGTGTGGTAGACACAGTCGTTATTATAAACTCCGAAAGCATAAACCCCCAACGCCTTTTCATGGAGTTTGCTGAATGCTTTTCTTGATGTGTTTCACGTTGTTCTGTGTTTCTGCAGTGTCAAGATTTGTTTGTTGATTATGTTTAGTGTCTTTGCTGGTCGTTTTAATTGCAAGTTTGTATTGTGCTTCTATAGATACGTACATGCATAAATACATGCATATACATATACATATACATACATACATATACGTATTACAAACACACACTTCTTGCGAAGGAAGCTTCGCGTCAGCTAAAGCGGCGTCGACCTCCCGAACCTTCTCGATGTTCAAGAATCCCTCGGAAGTCAACGCAGCATTTGCGTGAGCCAGCTTCGCCACCACTAGCCGAAATGCTTGGTTGGTGTGTGAGCCCAGGATGGTGGAGTAGCGCAGCGGGCCAAGGCTGAGTGGTGCCAGTTTGCCGCCTGCTCTGTCAATGAGTGCCTTGTTGAAGGCCCGGGTGGCGTCGCCGCGGGAATCAGGGGGGCATTCGAGGCATACCGACTTGCACTGTCCGGGGACGAACCCCAGAGATGCTAGTGAGCTCAAGAGCTCGTGGCAGTGTTCCGCGCTCACTCCTTGTCCGTCCCTGTTGAGTTCGTGGCAGCCTATGTGCTCGCATCGGATGCGCTGTTTGTACGCAAGGCTGTGCTTGAGGAGGTAGTCCAGGAGGCAATCCATACCCTGCACCAAGCTGCCACTCTCGGCTTTGGCCAAGAAAGCCGCGATGTTTGTTTTGTGCTCGGCATTCAAGGTGGGCATCGCGGCACTACCATATAGAACACACTAGCATGCAACCCTATAATTGATCCAGGACAAGAAGCTGCGAGCAAAAGCCCTGCAGCCAAAGGCGCGAGCAAAAGCCCTGCAGCCACTGATACCCCGAGTGTACACGAGACGCTGCCAGATTCATGTGCAGGCATGGGGAAGCATGCACTTGCACGAACTTTAGATAGCAGCATTTTTTCAAGCCTGAAGATCCACGGATGCATAGATGGCCCCCCTCAAAATGGTCTACGTACAGTGCTCACTCCTCCGGATGCATGAAGTATTTTCGGAGTGTCACTTCAGAAGGCCTAGACTTTCTAGTGACGCGGCGGGACGGCTTAACCGAACTCACAAGATCATCACCCCACAGCCATCCGACCACATCCGGTAGAACGCCACCCGTGAAGGAGGCAACGAGCTCCATGCTCTGGCCCGGCGTGATCTTTCCGGCTTCGACAAAGTGAGAACGGAACTCCGCCCGAAGCATCTTCACATGGACACATTTCGCATCAGGAAACGTGACGGAGCACAAGTGGATCCCAGTGACGCAGGAACGAGCTTGGAACCTGCATGTGTGTAAAAAGGAATATAGACATCAAGAGAGTCTGCAGTGTTTTCGGTTAAGTATTATAGAGTCTCTCAATAATATGAACATCAAAAGAGCCCCGCTATAAGCCCCCATCATGAACTGAACAGAAACTGGGCCAAACCTGTACCCAAACCAAGACTTCCACCTCAAAATGAAAAACCCACAAAATGCAGACTGTATATATTGGCACAGCTACACTACAGCATTCTCGCTGGGAACGTGCGCCGCGTGAATCGAGAGCAACAACGCCGGCCCGATTTCCCGAACCATGATTTTGTGCATGGCGCTAGTCTGGAAGATCATGATCCCTGATGGCATATCATTGACCACGCACGAGTATTTGTGCTTGCCCATGTAAATGAAATGGATGCCGGCTCGAATGCGTTCGTTCTGCTTCTCACGCAGGGGCGACCACTCCGACATGGGAGGGAGGCCGTCGGCCCATCGCCAGGTCTTACCCAGCACACACAGTTCGAACCGACGCAGGCTCGACATGGTGCCCTGGCTTTCGGCGTTCATCTCTGGAGCTTTATCCAAACTAAGACCTGATAGGCACCTGTGCTGCAGAAATGCAACAATACAACCAAATCATTCCATGCCCAGTCCAGTCTAACACACATGCATCCACTCGCGAGTATACATGTATACACCCTGCAAGTGTCATGCAGCGAGCAAATGCCCTGCTGCATGTCCTTCCACAAACCCCCTGCTCGTGGCCGCTATAATGTCTGCCTGCCATGCATGGGCGGGACAGCTCTGCAACAATAACTTGCATCCAAGTGCATGTCGTGCCAAGAGCAGAGACACAACCATAATTGCAACATTGCTCGGTTAATTTAGATTTACAAAAACCACGGCTTCCAACCCGCCATGCAACTCGGCCGAACGTGGGATTTTGCGACTTGTCCAAGCCAAAGCAACTGGATGCAATGGAGAATCATGCTTTCATCCCCGTCAGCCATGCACACATACACAGCCAATGCCAGCAAAAGCCCCAACCCGCTTGTACAGCCACAGATCCCTTGCCTTTCGAAGGGCTTGGAGGTGCATACTCCGCCATGTCTGTGCAGATACATGTGCACACATACAGATAACCTGCTGCAATTCGATGCAATGTGGTTTCGCTGCGCAATGGAGGCTCAGACAATGGAGGCTCAGAATGGCAAGGTCTCCGACTGCGACTGGCAGTAAATAACCTAAATCTCAACTTGCCGAGCTCACAGCGGGAGTCCTCGTCGTCGTGTTAGTATATAGTGAAGAAGTATAATATAGTGTATATCAGCTATAGATGCGATAAAGACCTATATATATTAGCTCTCACAAGCTTCAAAGTCATCGGTATACTGCGTAGGATTCGAGACATGAGACCTATATAAGTTGGGGACATAACCTTCTTTTCTGGCTGGGTTCCGGGAATCTAAGTCGAGTCTCTTCGGATCCTTTCGCGAAGCTCCCAACCCCCGGATATCTCGAGAGGCTTCCGAAGTCAACTTCACAGCCTCAGCCTGCTTCGATGGGCATTGAAGTATATAGGCTACGACCCCGATTTACACTTATCGGGTCTAGGGTAGCTAAGTGTGCTGGGTTAATACGGTTAATACTCGACATTCAGAAGGGGTCAAATGAAGTTCATGGTCGACCTGGATGTAAGAAGGGGAACAACCAAACTTTCCCGTCAGAAGCCAGAGCCCTGTTCTGTAAAACTCCGAGAATCCTACACCCTATATACAATCCTAGCACTGAACCCCAGCGACATATCAACTGCGCCAGTCCGCTCCCCTGCCTCTGTTGGGCTCTCCTCGACGCTGGCGTTGTGGAAGACCTCCGACTCAAAGGCTCTGCAGACGGTTTAGGGTTTAGGGGTTTAGGGTTTATAAAGGGTTTAGGGGTTTATAAGAGTTTAGGTATAGTGTTTCGGTGTCCAGGTCTTGGGGGACATTTAGGATCGAAGATTTAACTCCACCAGACAAGGTCTCACGGTTCACAGGCACATTGACTGCACTGCACCTAGGTCGCAGTGATCACTTCTATATATACACCACAAGCACACTCAGGCAGTATCAGGATTGAGGATGTAGCGTTCAGAGTCGAGAGTTTCAAGTTTCAAGGCTACAAGAATATTACAAGAAATGCAACACAGATCATGCCACCGAATATGCTACTTTATAGTGGTGTATGAATGTGTGCCATACGACTCATATACAGTATATCCCTTAGGCTGAGTCCCAGGTCAGAGCACCGCAGCAGATTCTCGAAACTATAAGTAGTATATTGCTGTCTGAACCCAACCTTCTCAGGTGAAGCGAGGCACTGAAGGGATGATCGAGGGTTTCGGGCCAGCCCCCCAAAACAAGATCGTGACTACAGCTTCAGCTGTAACCCAACCTCAAGCAGTTCGAGTCAACTCACTTGTCAACCCGAGCAGCTGGTCCTGCACGCAGCTCCCAGTAGACTTTGTCGGTAGATCTCCGAACCCGAACATTGAACAAACTCCAGATGCCAAGCTCATAATTCGCTTAGGGAAGGCTGCTTGTGTGAGCCCCTTGATGTTGCCCCAGCCCCGCGACGGCATGGCTTGCCTTGACTGCATGGGCCCCTCGCGCGTGCATTCCAACCTGGCACCGTAAACCTTAAACCCAATAAAGGTGGCTCTCTAAATGAAGGTCCCTTTCACAAGTTCCCTTTGCAAGCCCGTCGCAATATCCTCTCGTTGGGAGGGAGAGAGCTAGAGAGAGAGAGAGAGACCAAAAATAGATGAGGTTTCTAGGTTATATATACGGTTTTTCGGAGGTTTAGGGTTTAAGGCTTCCTGCTTCTAGCCCTTACAATATATAATGTAGTATTTCTGGTTTTAAGGCTTAGGCTTTCGCTCAATTGGCGTTCTTCATGGGCTCTGGCAAGGAAACTCCCTGCGTGTCTTCAGGACCCATGACTAGGTACGTTACTTGGGTTTCGGCTACGACACTTACGTAAGTGTTCATCTATAGATGACTCAGAAACAGGATAGGAGCAGAGAGATTGTAATCTCTGCATCGACTCTTGCTGACGTTCAGCAACATGTCGTGAATGAGGTGTGCAGCCGCATGCGATGGGACGTCGTGGACATGTCGCCGAGGTCATCAGCGGTTCGCTGCCCAACAGTCATCGACATGTCTTTCTGAGTAACATAGGTACTCCACTTGATGAGTGATGAAATTTGGTGCTTTAAGCGAACACTATATGGCGCTGTGTTGGTTAGCCTTGGAATACATGCACCCATGTAGCATAGTTGATTCTGGCCTCTCCTCCCCTCCGACACAAAGGGATCCAGAGGGAAGTTTATGGGTTTCGGGTTTTGTGCCTATCTCCATCACATGAAAGTCTACATACAAACGTTACCTGCACCCAAGTGCCGACTCGTCTTTCTGAACTCACTGACCACTCAGGTCCGTGCCCCTGGATGCGATGTTGCCGCTGCTAGCGAGGCCGCAGCCCTGCAAAGGGTATTCCAGAATTTCATCAGACACTGCAACCCCACTTGTTGCAGACGATTGCTGCCGCACCATGCAGCGTCTCGAAAACAAACCCATGAATCTGCATTCATGCGGATTTAACTCCCATTGACAAGCCTCCATGGCACTTGCACTTGCAGTCTGCATCCATAGCACCCGGAAGGAAGCCTCAGGGGGTGTGTATACGGGTTTCGGCTTGAGGATTGAGTGAGGGACGGGGGCAATGATTGGAGTTCTGAAGTCTGCCTACCCGATGTGGGCTCTTCGGCTATAGCTCGACAGTTGTTTCAGGGTTTGGTAATGGAAATTAAGCCCAGGCGATGTCAGAATGACATGGTTTGGGGAGTTCTGCCTACCTTATACTACATATATGGGCCGTAATGATTAGAATAGGGTTTTGGGGATTATTCTATACTACAAGGAGCCACCAAAGTAGTTTCGGTAATTATTAAGCTATTACCCCGAACCCCAAGCCACCAACCTGATGTCAGTGTTGCATGCTGAGAGCAGTCAAATGCGCAAAACAGATACTCATGCCATGTCCACACTGCAAGCAAAAACTCTGGCATGCACCGCCACAGTCCCCAAACCTTTAGGCCTTCGATCCTGTTATAAACTTGAAGTCCACAACCTCGAAATTGAAACACAAAAGCAGAACTCTGGGGTCAGGGCTTCTGGTCGTCCTCGGCGTCATCGTCTTCGTCGTCTCATCGTCGTCACCCTCCAGCTGCTCTCTGCAGCGTCGTCGCCACCCGGCACCGTCCCGGTGCACCAAGGGTCGGCCTCAGCGCCTCCCGGCGCACTCTCATGATCGAGGTCTTTTGAACCCGGCA